CCTCATTAAAAATAGCTGCCTAACAGTTCAGCCATTGTGCATGTCTGACTTCTTCTGGGGTGGCATGAAAACCACATTCCTGGGCACCACCATAAACACTGTCCCTGACCCCCCAAGAACCTTTAAGTCAAATTCATTTACCCCCAGAAGGCAACATGCTATTGTGCCCTCTCCACTTCCTAGCCACCTATGAACAATGGGTAGTAATTGCAACTGTCACGGGCAGTCAGTAGGAAAAAAATCCCAGCTCATATTTTCCCAGTTTACTGCCAAACCTGATCCGAGTACCTAATAACTAGGCCTCCAACAGAAGAAAGACCCACAGTTGCTTTTTAAATGCATCAGAAAACAGCTTTCCGTACAGAACCAAAGCACAATAACCAAACGTGTGGTTTGAATGTGAGGCTTAAAAAACTCAAAATTAAAGACAGAAATTTCTTTTGTGACTGCACTGTAGCTTCCTAAACTAACCCCCAGGCAAGCCTGAAAGGGCAGCTGAGCCTCTTTCCTCTAAGCTTATCATCGCTGCTGTTGCCGCTTTTAAGTCTGACTTGTGAGGGAAAACCAGGTAGGGGAAAATGTGCCCTACAATGGAATGAGATCACAAGGCTTGGGAAAGGTGGTCTCTGTTCTACTCTGCTATGAGCTGGGTTACAGGAACTAAAGAACCTTGCAGAATCTCATTCTAAACTTCAAGTGGAAGTTAGGGTTAAAGTCGATCAGAATAATATGAAGGAGACTGCTGAGAAAGATGGAGCGTTCTGCTCCCATACAGGGTTACCGTCTCCGAAGCCCAGGGACCGTTCTCCTCTGTCCCACAGGGTTGCTGTGAGTCGGAACTGACTCAAGGGCAGAGTTGGAGGAGGCTGTTTCAGAACAGGAAACTTCCTAGTTCTCCTAAAACTTTATCTTCGAGTCCCATAACCCCCCCTGTGGGTTTCATTGGCTTCGAGTGGAATCCGCCTCGTACTGGCCCTGTAGAGGGCCAAGCAGAACCTTTCGCGTTGGGTTGCCAAGTCGGCGGTCTTTACAAAAGCAGGCTGCCACGGTCTTCTCTGGGAAACCACAGCCCTTACGGCGAGCAGCTAGGTGCTCTCACGACTGTGCTACCAAGGTCCTTCAAGGCGCATTCAGAGCATGCATTTGAACTCCAGGAGGCGGCAGCATAGGCTTTGTTTCACTTGGTGGCAGGAGAGACTAGTCCCTGGAGGAGCGCATCATGCTTGGTAAAGTAGAGGAACAACAACAAGAGGAGGGCCCTCAACGAGATGGACTGACACCTGGTTGCAACCTGGGGCCCAAACTTAAGAACCACTGTGAGGGCTGCTCCGGACCCGGCGGTGTTTCGTTCCGAGTGGAACTGGCGCGATGCCACCAAACAGCAATGTTCAACGTCAGGGCACATTCTTCTCCCTCTTCCCGTTCACACCTAATCATAGACCAAAAGATGTTAACCCCAGGGTTCTGAGTGCTCCGTTCTTCTGGCTGTTTCTAGATAATCAGACACTAAGAACCAAGTAAGCCAAACACTTGCGAAGACTGACGCTATATTTTCTACTTCCGGATGTTCTTCGGAAGTAGAGCCTCAGAGAGACAACTGTCCCTTTCAGTGTGAAAACATATGCACATATGTACCAGGCAAAGAAACTACTTAGACTTCTGCATATATATTCATATTAATCAAATGAGGTTAAATATATATTCAGCTTCCATCGATATGTAAACAGTAATCCATAGCTAAAATTTCAAGATTAAGATATAACCTCTTAAGGTTATGCATTGTTTTCACATTAGCTCTATTTTATAAGTCTAAGCAGCCTATTGGCCAGAAGCAGAAAGCTATAGATTGTCTATTATGCCCTGTGAAAACATGCTTTGAAATTAGTTGAAGAGCCCTATCTGATTGTGTGTTTATATGAGGAAATTAGTTCTCCCCTTGCAGTTAATGAAGGTTCATTAAAATAAAATAAATATTCAGTATCTTCTGACACCCAAACAGAAGTTTTCTTTTAGTTGTATCAAAGTGTCGACTCAAATGAAACCAAACCGAAAGCAGTGCGACCCTCTGAGTGCACAACAACCTTTGATCGCCCCTTCCTCACCCCTCATTTCGAGGGTCAACTGTGGGTTAGGTACTCGCTTACCCTTAC